TTAATTTATTTTTTATTATAATTTAATTTAAATTTAATAATGAAATAATTTATTTTTGGTTTAATAATATAACATTTTATAAGATAATAATTAAGTATTTTGTTAGAACTCAATGATTATTCTAATTATATTTTAGATTTTTTATATTTAAAATGAGATGTTTATCCTGTATTTGATTGTGTTTATCTGCAGTTAATTACACGAATTCAGATATAGGATGAAATCGGATAGGGATGAATGGGTTTAAGAGTTTTTAAGAGTTTAAGAATTTTTAAGAGTTTTAACCAAATGCTTTATAATATAGTATAGATATATATATATATATATATATATATATATAATATGATAATAATGATAAATAAAAATCAAAGTGACCATTCTAACACGTCCTATTAATGGCACCTACGTAACGTAAGCAACTTAATTGTGAATGCTGACCAAAATAAGGTTTGATGTGACAACAGATGGCCACATATTTCATGCATTAAATACGCACAGTTCTTTCTTATCTTTTATTGTTATATTTTCACATTTTTGAAAATCATTTAAGAAGTTAAATTTACCAACACTGTCTTATCTTATGTACCATGCTTGTAAACTTATAATTTTAAATTCAACAATAAAATATTTGTTACTTTAAAAATATGTAAAAAAAAACACTGATTGTTGTACGACTAATTAAGCGTGAAAAAGAATACATACATATCCGGGCATGCGAGGCCAACAACCGTCATCAAAAGCTTGTCTAGCTGCTTTTACTGCTAAATCAACATCTTCTTTATCTCCTTGTGCGATATTTGCTATCACTTGTTTTGTACTCGGGTCTATTGTCTCAAACGTTTTTCCTGTTTATGGTTATTGGGTTTTCAAATCAAAACCAGTATATAATATAATAACTGAACTACATAAATAATTCAGACAACGAGGTATATAATATATAAGTAGTGGAAGACAGATCTTGAAAAACATAAAATTGGCTTAATAAAGTCCAAACAGACAATTGTTTTCACCAACTAACAAGAAGCTTCACGTTAACTTAGTTTTTCTTTTCCTGGTATATAGCAAGAAAAAAGAAACAGTTCGATAGTGCGATTGATATGATCATGAAGATTATAATATATATATATATATATATATATATATATATATATA